AAATTTTCTTAGTTTCATTAGAGCGGTGGATAATAAAAAAAAACTGAATTTATAAACTGAGCTTATAATTCGTAGTATTACATAGGGTGCACTATAAGTTTACGGATATGGCCACTTACATAAACAATATTTAAAAAGTAATTACAACATTTGAAAATGGAACTCTTTGGTTGTAGAATGCAGTTTGTTTCATCTGACTATCACTTGTTTTTACATTGTGGCGTCATTTTAGAAATTGGTTGTCTACATCACCATGGATTTAACTCGTGAAAATTTTCGTAGTATGATTTTCTACGACTTGTAAGTGTAATTAAACAGCTCAGTGGAGCTTCGCTCGGCTCCAAACTGCTTTTGGCGATGAAGCACCATGCAAGGCGACTATTTATAGCTGGTTTGCAGAATTCAAACGCGGTCGTGTGAGTCTCAGTGACGAATTTCGTGATGGTCGCCCGTCCACTGCTGTGAACAACAAAAACATCGATGTTGTGCACTGTATGATCAAAACAGACAGGCATGTGACATACCATGAGATTCGGGCGTCTTTAGGCAAAGGCATGAGTCAAATACAATCAATACTAACTACACAAACATTTGGGTGTGAAAAAGCTGTGCTCTCGGTGGATCCCACACAATTTGATTGAGGCTCAAAAAACGGATCGCGTCACTTGGTGCAATGCCATGCTTACCTGATTCATCGAAGGGGCGTCAAATTATGTGTGGGACTTAGTAACAGGTGACGAAACATGGATTTATAGTTACGATCCCAAAACAAAGCAGCAATTGAGCGTATGGGTCTTTCGAGATGAGCCGAAACCAACCAAAGTGGCGCGTGTGCAAAGTACCTCTAAGCGGATGGTTGCTTCTTCTTCCCTGGACACGGGGCTACTGTTGCTTTGGAGAATCGTTGTGCCGTGAATAGTGAGTGATACACGACCATTTGTTTGCCGGAAGTTATTGACAAACTCCGTTAAAATAACCGTAAACGCCGTATCATCTTGCACCACGATAATGCCAGTTCTCACACGGCCAGACAGACAAAGAACAAGGTACGCGGTCAACGATTTTCATCACCTGAAGAGGCTGTCGAAGAGTAAGAAAAATATGTTTCAGAGATTGTCACGGAGGAGTGGCATAAATATTTTCAAAATTGGTTCATTCGTATGAAAAAGTGCAGTAACGCTAATGAAAAATATTTTGAGAAACAATAAATTCATTTCTGATGACTTATAGTTTTTTTTTTCTTATTCATTCCGGAAACTTATAGTATTTGTTGTTTAATCGTCTGTATTGGGCCAAAAAGTGAGAGTTCTGATTATTTGCCACAGAACTGGATTTGGTCCGTGTTGTCGTTGGTTATGGTAATTTATTATCTTTTATGTTTTTGATGTTAAAGGTACCCATTGAATTTGAAATGTTCATAACGTTAACGCATTATTAATCTTTTATCTTGTTCAAATCTTTATTAAAAGAGTGTGCTTGCTTTGTCGTCTGCTTTTACGCACGTTGACTCACTGTAATGTTGTTACTATGATAAGAAAAGCAAAGTAGTGTAGTCACTTTCTACATTCACAGAGATTTATTTCATTATGTGTCGATTATATAAATGTCACTTTTATGAATGTCTTCCCTTAATAACATACAATAACAACTAGGTTAAGATTTAAAGTTTGGACGCTCCTAAAACCAAGATTTGATTTCATATTATTATTTAATTAATAATTTATTTAGTGTTTGCCCCTTGACATTTTGCGCCTCCACACCAGGGCGTAATGGTAAATCCAACAATTCTTTCTAGAAACGTATGTGTCGGTACGCACAACTAACGATATTCAGACCTCAATTATAGTTATGATCATTGCGTTGGATAATATCATTACAACTGATCGATGATACTTGCATCTTTAATGTGTTTTCAGTTAAAGCTTCATTGAGCAAACAGACATAATTTGCAACAACCACTAGAACATTTATTATGCATACGGATTTGACCGTGAGCAATAAGAGTAGTCTGGAGGACGTCTTTGATATGGGGTTAATTTTTTATACAGGTTTTTAACCAATCACTCCACATATGTCACCTTATGTAGACTTTGTACGAAAATGCTCCAATTACTCTTTTGTAACGCTGACTTTTCGTCACGTTTGTTTTCGCTTTCTATCATTTCTTCTGGGTCAGAATAATTGTATGTACCATAAGATATGTTAAGAGTTTTTTATCTTTGAAATTAGACTATTCACTGTTTAGAATACCACAGTTTGAATATAGTTCTCCAGTCGAGAAATCTTGCCAATTTTCGAGACGCGGAAAATATCCTCGATAACTCAAGAAATTAAATTAACTGTTTTAATTACTGCTAAGGTTAAAAGTTACGCTATGTTTACATTCTGACTTTTGATCGTTTTCCTTTTGAGGCGCGGAGAGGCGAAGAAATAAAAATGTTTACTTGTAAAACTATTTTGAAATAATACCTTAAAAATGCCATTTTGCAAAAAAAATATGTAAAAGTTTCGTTACGTAATTGTACCATAATTATAATTTAAAGATTCATAAAACTTTTAAGATGCCGTAAAAAGGCGTTGATTGATTCCAATTGAGGGAAAATCAAAAACCAAACTTGGAAAATTTTACAAATTACAAGTCTTTCAACTGAAAACTTGGCATCATAAAATTAAAGAACGTTTTCAATATCTCCTTCTAATTAAATTCATTTAAAATACCGCTTTTTTATTTTCTTATTCCTTCCGCAAAAACAAAAAAATTTGATTCTCCAAAATCTCGTGGCAGCAGGATCACGGGGAGAATATGATGGATGGTCAAGGATATCAAAGCTAGCACTGTGGATTGCCTTGAGCGCAACTTCCGATCGATGAGCAGGAGCGTTATCTTGAATAAACAACACGCTCAATGACATTTTTCCTTAATTGCTTTACTCACTTTTGGCATAAAAATCTGCATAATAAAGATGGTGTTAAATCTCCAATAATCTGTCCTTTCGGCATGTAATCAATGATAACAACTCTTTCACTATCCCAGGACTCTGAGGCCATAACTTTACCAAGATGGTCGTTTCCAAGACATGCTTTGTCTTTTTTTCGTTTGTTCGGGATCGAAATTGTGGATGCAAGTTTCGTCCATCGTCATAATACGATGGCAAAATTGATCCGGATCTCGCTGGTAAATTTCGAGATTTCCAAATGACGCTTTTTCACGCGAAAATGATGCGTTCACATTCGTGATGCCCATCTTGCCGACACTTTTTTGAATTCCAGTGAAACTTAACTGATTGGATTGAAAGCTATCAAATGATATATTTAGTATTTTGACTAATGTTTTCTGTCTTCTAAAACTAATTTCTCAACCTTTTTGACATTTTTTTACGTAACAGAGGGGGAAGGCAGCCCGGGTTAATAATCTTCACAGATCAATCCAGCTCTTAGATTTAGCAACCCAATAAGCGACAGCATAAAACATCATTCTTTAATGTCTGCTGAATGTCCAAAAAATTCCTTGGTGGACATACTTTTCAGGCACAGATATCACTGCTTGTAAGTTTAGTAAATAAGTATTTTTTTCTGTATTTTGATCAATAAATAAAAAACAAAACGTAATTGGCTTTTCTCCATTTATTTATTTAGTGCATAGTTTCCCAAAGTGGATCCCACCGCCCCCCAGTGGGCGCTGAAGAGTCGTAGGAGGCGGTAGGGGCTTCGGAAGCAATTGGGGGGCGTCGATGTTGTCCAGGGTGTGCTACTGCGGTAAAAAAAGCCTGAATCACGTATATTGACAACAAATATATATTTTTTTGTGTTAAGTTAATATAAAAAATACTTACACGTTTTCAATTATTTTATGTGGTGGTGGGCGTTGAAATTTTTTTATTTTGCCAAGTAGGCGGTGAACCAAAAAGTTTGGGAACCTGTTTTAGTATTTATATCAACGATATCTATGTTGAAATCTTTGGTTTCACAAGACCGGCCTTTGTGGCGTTATTTGGGGGACACCTGTATCCAGCAGGGGATGTCTCTTTGGACAAAATAATATACGTAAGAACTTTTTGAGTCACTCCCGTATAACGCTGAACTATATTAATTTTAGTGGTTAAATGTTGATTATCTATAAAAACGTTCCAAAGAAGCATGGTAATATAAATAGTGGTTGCTTGAATTATGAATAAACTTGATCTCATCATAAATATATTAATTGTTATATAAATATGTTAATTGGAATTGGTTTTCATTTGAAGTTAATAAAGCTGATCTCTTAAGATTAATCTGGTCGAACCTATGCATTGCCAAAAACAGATGACCTGATTCTAAAATAAAAATATAGTCAAAATGTTAAATCGTATTTATTTCGAAGCGATTACATATTTTTGTTATTCTCTGCGTCTTCATATGAGACGAAAGGGATGCGATTCGATATAAATGCGCTTAAATTAACATGAACGGTTTGTGTTTCATACGGGATCCAGGTCATTCCATTTGAATTTTTTTACAACAGGTACCGGATAACGTTTTTACTTTCATTGTTTTAACATACCCGACTACCACAATACACCCAGGAAGTGGTCACATTTAAATAACTTCTTTTCAAGATAGATACTTCTAAAAATAAGACAAATATGTAAAAAAACATATTTGGAGAACTCTTTTTCAAAGAAAGTAAAGGTGGTACATTAATACTTACTTGACGAAGCGAAATGATCAAAAGTCTCCATTAAAATATTTTTATCCCGTAATATTTCAATTGCATTTACGTTAATAATTGAATTACCTAAATATACGAGAATTATATCATTAAAGTAGGCCTGTCGATAATTTTTGGCAATTCAATCGCTGATTTCATTTAACATAAGTACTCTTTATTGCACACGCGAAGTAATCAATCACAGAGATAACAAAAGAAAAAAAGATCAGGTGGTACATGGGGTTATTTTATAGTACCATAGTATTAAGGTATACTATAGCTTGTTTCAAAATTTGCGTTTTCATTGTTACAGGCGTTTTGTTCTTGGATTTCCGCATCTGATTCCACATCGCCACGGATCATCAGAATCGGGCGCTGGTAGGCGCCGCTCATATCAATGAACTATTTATGCCAGAATTGGCCTTTGAAGATGCAAGGTATGTAAATAATTTTTAGTAAGTCATAACTGTCACGTTCCTCGTTACGTCATTGTTCGTATAAATAAACGTATTGTTACTGTACATATTTTCTAAATACTATAAATTGAGTAATTTTAAATAACACTACAAGTTTAACAGTCCCGCATCGATTGAAAATCAAAAAGCCTTGGATCACTCCTGGGTTATTACGCTTCATGCGTAATAGAGATCGTATGTATATGAAGTTAAGTTGTACTGAAAATGGGATATTACGCGTAACCTATAAGGGTTATCGGAATTAATGTAATGATATACTAAAAAGTTAAAATGACAATACCAAAGGTAACATATTATAGAGGCGGGAACTAATAACAAAAACTTGTAGAATGCTATAACTGACATCACCGGTACATCTAAATCCAACTCACCAGCAACGGAACTGGTTGCTCGAGACTCGAACAAAAGAGATTCAATAAACAAAGTACTTTGCTGACATTGGCCGAATTCTTGCAAGTAAGGTCCAACGTAATCAAAACTACACCGACTACATCTCGAGGTGCTTATAACTCTATTGTTTTTTGATACCAATGAGTTTAAAGTGGAAAGATTTATTTCCAATCAAATAGTTTATTTCCAAACGATATTAAGAAAGCATTAGTGCGCCCAGTTTATAAGTTTGAGAACAGAGACTGTGTAAGTAACTATCGCCTAATATGCGTCTTGACGGCTCTGGAAAGAGTCAGAAGAGTAGAAGTCCTTGAAAAATTAATAAATAGTTGTCTTTTTCAAGTTTTTAGATTAAAACAATGTATACTGTCGGTGAACTAACATGGCTTCTGATCCGGCAGGTCTAAGATACTGTGCATAATCTTATAGACCATATCGTTAGAGCGTTGGACAAAGGAAGAAGTGTGTGGCGGTTTTCTTGGGTCGTGCTAAAGCGTTTGACATGGTCTCTATTCCTTTACTTATTGAAAAGTTGGAAACTATAGGTGTTATTGGTACCCAATTGAATTTTTTTTTTAAATCGTACCTATCTAACAGAACACAATGCGTCAAATAAGGTGACCAGGTCTGTGATGAGATTCCCACACAGTGTGGTGTTCCGCAGGGTAGTGTTCTTGGTCCCACTCTTTTCCTCATCTACATTAATGATTTGTATAATATGGGTTTGGAGGCGGCGGGTCGATTAATTGCATTTGAGGACGATAGGTACTTGTTTTTTCGACTCGTAGCTGGAGCGTGGTTTATGTGCACAGGAAAGTTTCAATAGAGTTCTATACTAGTTAAGGCAAAATGTCTTGACCCGTACGGGATGTTGTCCCGTTATTGAATGCGTGTAGAACATCATTTGGCAACAGGCTACTTCTTCCTAGGTGAATTCCTTATTAACAAAGTAAAGTAAGTTAAATATTGCCGACGAAACAAAAAAAAATCAGTGTAAGAAAACCAATACAAATTGGCTCCGTGGACTTAATTACGTAGGAACTGAAAATCTGTTATACCATGTCCAGTAAAGTAAACACATCGCCTCATTTTCAATTTAGCCATTCCCCTGTCAAGCTTATTTTAATACCCAACAATCTACACTCACACATACAGGCGCGCGCGCACACATATGCATGCACGCACGTATATATACATACACACACTTACACCCATAAGAGATTGAAATACATTTACATTATAACTTAGGTAAACTGAATATAGTGTTTAAAATTACGTGTTTCCTTATGTTAACTATTGTCTGTTTCACTGTTTACAATTATTGTTTATACTCAAAAATTAATCTTCAATACTATCGTCACTATCTTTAGAAAGAGCTTCGCCTAGTTTGAGACAGGGTTGTGCAAGTCAAGCTTGACACTTAAAACTTAAAATTTCAAACACTTCAAATGTGCTACTCTACATTTAAAATTAACTTTATACCGTTTATTGTACGGACAACGGCACATCAGACTACACATTTTTGTTGAAAATCGCCTCCGGTATCGTGTACACACGCCAGCATATCAAGCTACACGTTGACGTATCTTGTTCCGTTGCAATGGAGGCGATTTTCGAACAAAAATGTGTAGTGTGATGTGCCATTGTCCGTACATTGCTGGCTGTCCTGATCCATAATTAATCTTTGCTATCTTTACTGAAAATAGACTTTTTGTATGTGTAAGTTGTATTTCTTTAATTCGTATTTGTGGTAATAAATAAATTATTATTGTTAAATACTGTTACTTAAAATTTCATATAAATACATTCAGGGCCAAGTGCACTTCACACGCTCTTGAATCTATATTATAAACACAAATTGTAAAATTTTCATTACGACTCAAACTTTTGTTTCATATATGTGAGTTAAATGTTTTTAACGGTGAATTATTTTTAAGGAAATGCCATTAAAATAAAATGAACAACATCACTTGCATCATTATGAAAAAAACACATATACACAGCTGATTATATTGAATTACTAAATTGAAATCGAAATCATCCAATCTTCCTTCACGTGAAATTCTTGCATATTTACTAAACAAAAATGCGCCATTTTCTTGCCGTAATTTGGAGTAGAGGAAAAACAGCATTGAACTTGACACTTTGAACTTTGGACCTTTCTTATTGTAAGCGACATAGAGTAGTATATAAATCCTATGTGTTAAGCTTGACGTGCTCTTGACCGTTGTACTTAGGAAATGATACTGAAATCAATTCAGTCATAAGTGATGGGTATTAATTAGGTGTAACTACTTAGGGGTTACTAGCTATTTCCTGTTGTTTTTTAATATTGGTTTTGCAAAAGGTTCTAACAATATTTCAGATAATGATTTCAATAAACAACCTACAAAATATTAAATTTTTGGTTACCCATATAAATTTTTCGATTGACGGCTCACATTTTGTTTAAGAAACCACAATTTATTTCTCTTGTAATTGTAAAATTTTACAATTATCAATAGAAATAATTGGTCAAACCTTTTTGTTATACCCCTAGACGTCTGTGTAGAGCAATCCACGTGGAAAGAAAGGGAAAATAGCTTCCACGCAATTTCTATATTAAGGCGCATTCTAAGCTTGGAATATTTTCCTCGAATCTCTCCCCGTGTTATGTTAAACACGCCATTAATTCTTAAAAGGTGTCGAAACACATTAAGTAAAGGTTTAGATGAGTGAACACGATATCCATTATTCTATATTGGGTAGATATTGAATCGGCGCCGCAATCATGGCGACCCTGTGACGGCAACAGCGACAGGCGGTCTCCATGACGACACCGGAGGCATGCCTCCGACTAGGAGTACGGGAGCGATCAATTTCGAGCGGAGGAAGCCCGCGTCCGCCGCTGAAGCCTCTGTCGCGCACTTACCCGCGCATTGCGCACCACCTCGCTTTATCGGTCCCCAAAAAATTCCTTCCTTCCAAGAGTACTTGTAATTAGACAAGCCCAGAGTTACTCTTCCAGTTTTAAATTTAATCTAACGTTTTCTTCCGTGAATGTATCATTGCAATATTGCAATGCATTATTGCTCTCATCTAGCCAGTTTCTAAACAGGGTAGTCGATCCTCTATGTGCCACCCCCCTTGTTACACGTGCCGGAGTAAATTTATTGCATCTGGTACAGGAAATGTGAATATGAATGTCTATGAAACTGACTCTCTATTGTCTTGGGACTTCAAACCTGTAATTTAGTTTCAGATTTAAACAGATTGTTTGTTGAATTTTACACAAAACGCATGGAGTAATATGAGGACTACAGATGTTTAAGATTCTATTTTTGTGGTAGTAGAGTTTAAAACAATTTTTAGCGTGTTATTTTCTACTGAAGCATTAAGAAAATGGAGTCCGTTGTAAAGTAAATGTCAAATAATAATTCAATAAAGTGCAATCATTAAATTATCTATATTTATATGATTCGTTTGGGGTAGCATTCATAATATAGATGGCAAAAGAAGATGAAAAAAAGTTGAAACTTTAGTTAATAATACTTTACATTAGTGTATGTGTAGTAATATTTCAGCGGGAAGAACGTGACCTTGACCCCAGAGCATAGGCCTAACCTGCCCCAAAAGCGTCCAGTTAAAAGTTAGCGATCGATATGAGAGGATCGAGTTCGCGCACGCGCTCGCTTTGCCGCTCGCCCCATCGATCCGAACGCCCACGTGACGCAACGCATTTGCGGGGATTCTTTGCAGAAGACTCCTTGATAAACATTACCCCACTCATTTCATGTTCACGAATGCCACAGGTAACTTCCTTGGAGATTATGACGTTCGTTACAGAAACGAAATATTTATACGAAGAAATATTTATTCGATTAAGGCTTCTAGAAAGTTGTACAAGACTGGTTAATTTTGGAAATATCCTGTTTGCGTATTTGTTTTTCTAGAATACTAATATGTTTCTGAATGTAAACGTTTCGTATTTTGTTTACGATCCAAATGTAAGAAAGCCTTTGAGTGTAGAATCCTTGGCTCATATTTGTATCTATATTTTAATTCATATTGAGATTCTTTAAATAAAGATTGATATTTGTTAGAAACTTGTAGGTGTCTCAATACGACTGACTAAAATATTTTGTTTCAAACATTACTATTTAATAATTTGTAGAATGTCTGAATGAAGTAATGGAACCAGTAAGGAAACTTAACGTGGGAGTGTTAATTAATGATAGAGGAGAACTTATACACAAACTCAAAGATAAAATTTTTCAATGGGAGTTATTGTAAAAAGAGAACTCAAAATAAAATTATAACAGTTCCAGATAATTATTTAGAAATATTAGAAACAGAAGTGGAATATGCTATTAGAAATTCAAAAATCAATAAGCGCCGGGGTTGGATTATATTTATTCGGAAGTACTTCCAACCATGTCCAATGAATAGTCTTAGGTACTGAAGGAGCTATTCGATGTTTATAAGAGTGGTCGTTTCCCTGCAGACTGGCTAAAATCTGCTTTTATCACTATACCCAAAAAACCAAATGCAAAGCGCTGTGAGGATCACAGAACAATTAGTTTAATGAGCCA